TTCAGAAAAATAAAATCAACTCAACAAAGATTCATCCCTTCAGTTTTGGCACTTGGTTCKGATGGTTAACCATGAGCACTGTTCAGCTGACAGATCAGCTTCCTTATTTGAGCTTCCTGGCTGGCAGCCAYGGATTTATCATCACGCCTTTGGCTAGCAGGGAATTTCAATCTGATCTAGAGTTTATAACCACCTGYTTAATTGTTTTGCTGAACAAGAGATCTTTAGCTGTGTACTTYCATTTCCAGTTAAATACAGGATGTCATCTATACTTATTTAATGATGAATATAATCATCCAGAATTGGGGTAATAATAATTTAGATCACTTAATGTCCATAAAGATGAAAAGCATCTTATATTTTGCTATGTGGGCTTCTGTTTAACAAAAAATCAGTCATTAAAGAGATGAAGGCAACAAAAAGAAGTTATGAAGGAAAAGGTGATCAGCAGAACGTGCACTTAGAGCAGAATGACCAGTGAGCTGTATTAAGTCTTTKCTTTTGTAACAGCATCCCAAGATATCACCTGTGCATGTGAGSAAAACTGTGAGTGAAGTGATGATGGCATACAAATTGTTTCCATTCTGAGATGACTTTCTGAGGTAACCTAAGTCAGTAATGAGCAAAGTTCATTAACTGGTGATTTGGAGAGCTGAGTGCAGTGGGATCAGCTCAGTTCAGCTCCTGACAAACCCATCCATCATCGCTCACAGGAACSAGCACAAGAATTCAAGTGTCTGAAAGGCCTTTCTCACCTCGGCCAGTGGTCACCTGAGGTCAGGAAAACACATTTCTGTTGGCAGCTATCTGGAGCCAGCTTGTTGCTAAGGATTATCTGACTTGCATGTGCTGCAGAAACAGATTTCTTTATTAAATGACAAAACATCAGATCCCCTGGTGTCCCCATGGGCACACACAGCATGGAACCCTCACCAGATCCTCTCCCAGTGGATCCCACACAGCACAGACACATCCAGGTCCTGTCCATGTCCTTGTCCTCCCCCAGAGGAAACACARCATGTGTTAAGTACAGAGAATCAGAGCAGAAACAGTGTTAGATCAAAATCTGCCTTTTACTTTATTCATCCAATGTTCCTGATTCAGAAATTCATGTAATTGGCAGACAGAATGCTYAGATCATCATGTAACTGGTCTTTACAATGTGGTCACAGAATTTCATTCAGTTACTTCTCTTTTGAACATAATACCAAAATGACATGTCATTTAAGGGGAAAAAAAAACCCTTTTGCTTTGATTTAGACCCTTCAAAAGAAATGCTCATATTTTTGGTGCTTAGTTTGAGTGAGGAATTCTCCTTCAGAAAGGTCTGGATTATTGCCATAAATTCTCATTACACTTTTATTTTAGAATTGAAGACCACTTGAGTATCTGCTATGGTGCCCTCGTGACAGTAACACTCCCTTAGGAGCTGTCACCTTTTAATCTATCACTAATCATTGTGAGCATGGATAAAGCTTCACACAGCAACATAAATGTTATTAATTGATCTGTTATTAATTAACTTACTATTGTTGTTGGATGCACAGTCTCAGTTCATATTGAAAAACAGGGCCACTATGAACAAGTGCAGATACAAAAATAGCCTTGCTCAAATTTTCTTCTCTTGTCTACATYTGCCTCTTTAACTTACAAAATTGAGGATCAAGCTGTGTCTGTATTRTATCAGTAGGTATTGTTTAAAGGACAATTCAGTCTTTAAAATGTCTGTAGCTATAGATCAAGATAAGCATAATTAATCACTTGACAAAAAAAAATTACATTGCAAACTAATTCCTGGTAATCAATCTTATCAGTGGGAACAGTTTACCAGCTTTTAATTACCTTTGTTATGCAACCTTTGTCTACACCACATAATTGCATTATTCTCTCCTGACTTACCTGCCCTCTCTAGGTCATCTTCTTTTCCTCTTAAGGCTCCCACTGTTCCCAGCATAAAACACTCACTTTTTGTCAAAACAACACTGATGCTCTTAGTGGTCAGGACTAACAGCAGCRCTTCATAGTCAAGTATAAAGCAATGCTCAAAACATTTGTGCAGAGATAATTTCTCATTTAATTGGCAAAAGCTGCAGGGAGTCAGAGGCTCCACATTCTGCAATTTTGGCCTTTTCTACAATTGTCACCCTGCTGATTTAAGTGGTTTCTCAGCAGGGATAGAAATAGACCTTCTATTGTCACTCTGCCTCCAGCAGCTTCAATAAAAACTTTAACTGCTTTTCCAGAAAAGGAGGGGAGGCCATGACCAAGATTTGTTTTGAATATATTACAACAATGCTTACCAGCTCCTGTYGGGAAAAGCAGAAGAAACCAGGGGAGGAATGAAAGTCTGTCTTTAAAACATAGAGGCAAGAGCAGCCTGAAAACAGAAATTACTGAGGAATTGTTGTGGGGAACAAGAAGTGAAAAAGTGATTTAAATAGGTCAGAGGAGGGGAGGGAGGAGAAAGGAGGAAAAAAATAAGAAGCACTTGTAGGGTTTGATGAAGGGGGAAAAAAAGAAAAAAACAAGAAAAATACCAGGATCAACAGATATCAAGAAAACTTCAACACCAACTTTCCAGCCTCTCCCTGTGTGCATGATCCTCCAAGCTGCATTGGAGCCAGATTTTAGTAAATACAAAAACTTTCCACAACATGTGTACAAGAGCAACGTAAAAGCCCCATTTACAAACAGCCAGTCTGCACAAATCCAGTGGTCACTTCCATTTCAATGAAGTAGTGTAACTTGCTTGGAATATTWAATTGCCCAAGCAGGCCTGGCTTCCCTCATTCACATCCAGAAGTATATTTTGACTTCCTGAGACATGATTCCAAGTTAATCACCAGAGCAGAACTAGTGTTCATGGCACATGAAATCTGAAATTCTGTTCCTGTTGCACTGAAATGTCCAATGCACTTCTTTTAATGTTTCCCTCTGCCCCGGGAGCATTCCTAGGAAGAATCCTGAAAATCACAACTGCTCTGTTTCAGCGAGAGATTTGTAGCTCTGTCACCTGTCCATGGAGCAGGAGAGCAAAACTGCCCAGTTCAGACACTTAGAGAATTCAGGAAATTCAGTTCCTTCTGGACTAATTCCAGACTAATTTCACCATCATCCACCCACTGTTTGTCAACCCCAGAGGGCTCCCAGCCTCCTGATTCACCCAGKTCCATCAGATTGTTAGGTTACACCAGTTTGTGTCTTTGCAGAGAAGTAGCTAAAATGTATCATTCTGTGGAAATATTTAATATTGAAATTGAACATATGCATTCCGTGGTTTGCATAGAAATGTCCTATCACATGGCATAAAAATGATAAAAAGAGAATTTCCTAGTCCTCATAGGAAATCATTTCAGGTTAACCTATACCCGTGGGGGTAGACTTTATGCATTTGACAGGTTTGCTGCTATTTTATGTCCAACTGATTTCAGTTATGAAAGCATGGACTTAGAATCCCAAATGTTTGATATTTAGATAATTATACATACTGCATTGCTAATTCTACAAGTATCATGAAAACATTATATATCTCTCTTTTCTAATTTTTTTGTTCTTTCTTTAGTGATATTGGTAAAAACTTTCACGTAAGCAAATTCTCCACACTGCTGAATTAATGCACACTAAATAATTCCGTCACTGGAATGAAAATTGTAAGTCCTNAAAAAAAAAAAAAAAAAAAAAAAAAAAAAAAAAAAAAAAAAAAAAAAAAAAAAAAAAAAAAAAAAAAAAGGAGTGTGTGTTTAAAATTAGCAGAAGTCTATTTATTCAGTGCGTAGGGGAAAAGGAATGCCATTCCCCCATTTTCACTGGTGAGCTCTGACTTAAATTTACTGAGTCATAAATATTTGGCTAAAATAACCCCAAGTAATCCTGGGGTGGATTAGTGCAGGTATGGAACTCGAAGAATTGAATGACTTGTGTGAATACACGATACTTACAGGTTGGTAGAAGTTCAAAAGACGTCATCAGACATGGCCTCGAGCCAGGACACACACGTGAATTTACAAATTAAGTGCCCTAACCCCCATTTGACTTAACCTATTTTACTGCTACTTTCTATTTGCCTACTCCTTTTGTTGTTTTAATCTCATTAAAAGCTTTGCAATCGATTCAAAGGCAAGTCTGAATCATTACAAGTGTTCCCAGACTGTAGTCACTGGAGTACTCGATGGTTTGTGTAGAAGTTCACATCACAGTCTGAAAAACTTTTAATTCTCAAAACCATTTGTTTTCACGTTCATATGATCCCATTATTTTTTTAGTGAACTGATCGCTGTGGTTGCTGCAGGACTGAAACCTATTAGCCTGTGAGAATCTTTACAAATCTGAAGTCTGTTTTGGTTACGCAGCAAGACAGGATATATACAGTGGTGTAGGAAAAGGAGGCCTCTAATCTTTAGGATGTAGGCAAAGTGTCACTCTTCCTGGATGCTTTCTTCCCACTAAACACTGTCAGTACAGACAGCAGAGCAGCTTTTCTGCACGTGTGCTCCACCCCCACCGCTCTGTGTGGAACTCAGARCTTCCAAGCCAGGGGAAATGGCTTCAAAATTTGTTTTTATTACGAGCTGAAACAAAAGCCCCTGTTTCCGTAAAGCACGGTTCTAAAAGACTTTCTTTTGTAACATCTTAATACCTGGCACACTGAATTTTTCAAACAGTATCTTAACGTCTCGGTATTTTTCCACATTACTTTGCATCAAAACTAGTAGAGATGCACGCACACAGTACCATTCTCGCTTYCCCAGCCGGTGGGTTGTTAGAAGCGGATTTCTCCTGGGAAATCCCGGCTTTTCCCTGCTGTCAGCCGGTTTCCCTGCGGTCGCTGTCCCGGTGTGCGGGGTCCCGGGCCGGGCAGGTGCGGGCACAGCGGCGCTCGGGGGGCTCGGGGGGCTCCCCCCGTCCCGCCCCGACCCCGCCCGGGCCGTCCCCGCCTCCGCCGCCCCTCCGCTCCCCCGGGGCTCCCGCCCGCTCCCCCGCCCGCCATTTCCCGCACTCACTCGGGGGTGTTGATCCAGATGATGTCGAGGTGGCAGTAGTACACGCACTCCTTGTCCTTGTAGGTGTAGCAAGTGCAGCGCCGGGCGCGGTGCCTCAGCGCTCCGCCGTCCGCCCTGGCCCTGCCGCCCGCGGCCGCCGCCGCTCCGCTCTCGTCGCGTTCGCGGTGTCCCGGGCCGGCCGCCGGCAGCGCGGAGCGGGGCCGGGGCAGCGCGGACCCTGCAAGAGCCGTGCTCAGCTCCCGTCGGTTCCCAGCGGTTCCCAGACCCCGCACACCCCAGCCCGCACCCCCCGGCACCGGGCCCGACCCATCCCCGCTCCCYGCGGAGTCCCGGCAGCACCGTTATGTTCGCGTCCGCCCCGGGCTGCATCGCCAGCCCGGTGTGTGGATTAAACCAAGGATGCCTTTGCCCTCTGGTTCTTTACCGCGCACCGGAGTGGGCTGTTGCTTACAGCCTTTCGGAAGGAGAAAAGAAAAAAAAAAAAAAAGCGACAAAAAAAAACCACGCAGAGTTTCTTTGTGTGCATGCGTGGAAGTGGGCAAAGAAAGAAAGAAATTCACGTTACCTGCAGTCGACGTAATCGTAAGTCCAAAGAGGAACAATAAACCCAGCTCCATTAAACCCAAATTGCACGCCGGTTAACTGCAGGCAAAGGTGAACTGCAGGCGCGACTGAACCGTTCCAGGAGGAATCACTTCAGGTTGGAGGCAGGGAATATCCTGGGGCTGGCGGCACACGCTGCTCCCGGGAGTGAGTTAGTTCCCACACGGAGGTGTGATCAGCACTTCTCCCTCGCAGTTATTTTCCTCCAGTGCAGACTTAGTCCTGAAGGGGAGAGTGTTGTCAAAAGAAGGGAAGATCCATCGCTTGGCTTTTCCCACACACACCTCCCACCCCACCCCCAAATCCGATCGGCAACCGGAGCTGCTGTTTTCCAGCTGCAGACGCCTCCCACCCGCCGACAGCTGCCGGCCTCCCCCGGGGCTCGGGCCGGGGGCGGGCACGGCCCCGCACCGCCCCCGCTGCCCCGGCAGGTAAAGCAGGGCTGGGACAGCACATCGTCCCGGCGGCGGCASGGGAGGCACAGCCTGCTGGGCTGCTCATGCTGCTTCAAAGCTSTTAAATGACCTGATCCTCCCGCTCCGTGCCCGATTCCAGGGTGGTTTTATCGCTTGTGTGAAAAAAAAAAAACGCAGCTTTGTGGTTCAGAGCTGGGCTGCGGATTTTAGGGTTGTTTGGAGCTTCTTTTTYCTCTCAAGACTCTGCCACTGATTTCTCTGTGTGGAAATAAGTCACCAATTTATTAATACTTCCCCCCCACACTTACTTATGAGCACCTCTTTGCAGACAAACCTACCTAGAGTGCAACACTTCAGACAAATTTCACACCRTGTGAAATACCTGACAGCTGGGCCTAGAAGAACACTCCTGCCTGTGGCCCCATTTTCTATCATTAATATCAGCTATTAAGTGATAATAGGTAAGGATTTGAGGGTAATTGGCTGTATCTTTTCTCACGGGAGTACATGTAGTACATCCTGTTACAGGAAACTCATAGAGAGCACAATGGAGAAAGGCTGCAAACTTAATTGTGGATATTCTAAATCAAAATGTAATGTTTCATTACTAACAGAAAGAGCTGCAGCCAAAACTTCTTTTATGTCTCATGCCATTTTAACATATTCACTAAAATCTGGTTTGTGAGTAGAAAACTGGTTGCAGGATCTGCCAGGAGTTATCCAAGGGATGAACACTTCTCTACCACATCCCATTCTTCTCCAATTCTGCCCCTGACTCTGGTGTGGACTATCCTGTAACACTTGCAAAGAAGCCTCATTAAGATGTCATGTTTTGTCAGCTTGTCAAGCCTTTTGTCAGTGCCTGAAGATTGAGTTTGGTAGCTGACCATATTCCCAGCTGGTCACCAGGCAGGGCAATAGCCACAAAGTTCCCTTTCTCCMGTGACCCCAGAGCTCTCTGTGGAAACTTAAATTGCTTTTACTTCACATAATTAAGKGTAAATGACAAGATGTTCTCAGCACTAATACAGGGGGGAAATAGAACGCGTGTAAACTACRGAACACAACATTACACTGAAGTTCATGCTTGAGTTAGGAAAGAAATGCTTTAAGGATGAGTAACTGCGGTGACCTGAATGTTTGTACCCTTTGTTTTGCTGTGCTGGGGGTCTGTGTGTGTTCCAGTCATGCTCCCCAAGCATCAGCAGAGTTACAGTTCAGCTTCATGGTTCTATAGGTACTCTGTTTTGAAAAATACTGTGACAAAACATCTCTGAAAAAAAGGAATTGCAGTTATTTCCGTTTCTTACATATCTAGAAAAAGCTAATTGCTTTAGATCAGGAAGTTCTAGATACCGTACTCTCGTGCTGTTGGATACAGAATTGATTTTGACAAATGCTTATGATTGTGCTTTAGCTTATCTGAAAAAGAAAAAAGATTTATTGTGCAGTTACTGTTTAACAGGGCACTGCAGTGAGTAAGAAGTACTGGTTTCTKGTTGCAGGTATTATATGTAACAATGACATGAGTCTAAATTCTGATTCATGGGTTTTCATTTTCCTTATTGCAACTGTTATTTGGTTTTTTAACMATGATGCAAATTTATCATAGAATTTAATAATATATAACTGTATCATATGTATACATATGTTATAGCAAAAAAAAAAATGTGTTGTGAGTGAACTGATTTAAGAACATTTTCCAAAAAAATATTGTTCTGTTTTCTAAATTACAGTTTGAAGGCGCCTTCTACATTGCTCTACWTTTTCTTCCGTGTGCTGTTTAATCTCTGAAGAGCCAGGGGAGACCATATCAGCACCCAGTGCTGTGCAAACAAAAGRAGTAATAAAATATATTTTTAAATCAGCTACCAGGGTTCAGAAATTAAGGGCAAGGGTTTGGCCAAATGACCTCATGTAGGCTTTAGAAGAAGATAAGACATAGACTCTACAGGAAGAAAGATACTCTCATCAAAGGAATTCATACTCCTGGATACTGTAGGCCTGATTCTCATTTACACTGATTATCAAGTTGTTTGGGTCATATATTACCTAATGACTTGGGAATTTTTCATCTCATAAATACAGCAGTCTCAAAACAAGAAGGCTGGTTAAGGAAACAGCAGCAAATWWATTTTAAAAACCCAGGGTCCGTTTTGAGTTGGGATAAGTAATAAAAGATATCTGGATACCATTGTCCATGATATTCACATGTGATGCAAAATGGTTTTGTAAATCTGTTTAAGGATTACGTTTTCATTTAGTAAAAGAAAAAAGGAGTAGTAGCCTTGGAGGTAGCAGGCAGAGATTGGAAGCCAAGAGACCCAATTCATAGYATTTTTCAGTTTTTCCTTTAGAATTATTTTAGCTTCAGATGTTCCTTTTTCTTTTCCAATTCCAAAACTCTTYAGGGTGGATGGGTATGCTGCATAAATCTTGAGAGCCTTGGACAAAACGTGTGGAGTGAATCCTTCTCTTTATCCCTTCGATCTCCCCATCCCTTCCTGCCCCTGTGCAGCCCAGCCTGGGCAGTGCTGTGAGCTCCAGCCCTTCTCTCCACACACAATGGGAATTCCCYAGTCCTGGGACATTTCCTCATTCTTGGGGCCACCCAGGCAGCTGGAGAGAGACAATCAGCAGATCTGCCTCATTGCCGGGTGTAAATATTGTACATTTGAGAACTTCTAATTGACTGGAGGGAGAATAATCTTAGGGATGAGGTCAAGGCTGAAGGAGTCCTGGAATGTGGAGCAGCTGAAACAGATGATGTTAAGGAAAGCAAGCTCAGATTCCAGATTTTATATGYGAAAACCCTGGGCTGCCATTTCAATTAGGAACATAATCTTGGGTTTGTTTAGTGCTCCCCTGCCCCTTGTGTCCCTGCTTTATCCATCCACTCGTGTGACTGTGGGGCARTCAGAGCCCCCAGCAGTAATTCCACAGCATTTAACCTTCATCATACAGGTGACTACACAAAGCACTTGYGAGTTACAAAGAAGTTCCAGATGTTTTTAAGTCAAGCTGGTTACTGGGAGAAACCACTTTCAAAGCTGGGTTCCTGGGATGTATTTACACGAGAAATAAAGCCTGTAGTTAAAAGGTAGGGTAAGGTTTCAGCAGCAGCGCTGGGGTTTTTGGCACTGGTGCCTGTTCTTACAGCTTCACAGCAGGCCAGGAGGAAAGCCTGATCAATACAGATACGGTACTAAATAAAGACAACCAATCTAGTGCTTTATAAACCATTCATAGCTCTTTTCCCACCCTCTTGCTTCCTTCTTAGTCACCGTGTTCCTTCGTGTTATTGAAAGAAAAGGTCACATGAAGCTGCAAACCYTGTGTTTAGCAGCACGCTCTGCATCACTCTCACAAAGCAGCAACTTCATAGTGGTAACTGACATTGGAAAAATGTGCTGAAATCAGTAGGTTCTCAAGAAAACCTTATCTTCTGATTATAATTTGTTACTTTTTGCTAGAGTTCTATAGGCAGAAAGCTGAAGTTAATCTTGTCTCCCCTCGCGCTTCAGACAGCCCCATTCAGAGCCCTTTGATGTCAGTGCAAAGAATCCCATTTTTAGTGGCCTTTGAACCAGATGTAGTAAAAGGGCAACTGAGCATTTGTAGGGGCTGCAGTTGGGTAACTTGCTTAAAGGAGGAGAATTCAGACACCTATTTCTGTTTCCCATTCTTTTAGTATTGTATGCCATTAAGAGTAATGTAGATACTTGGTAAACAATGAAGACAAATGTCTCAGCTCYGACATATTTCAGTTTATTTAGATAAAAGCAAAGTAAAGAAGGAGCACTGTGGCTGTTTTTCAGCTACACTAATATAATGATTCCTGCTTGTTACAACTATTGTGAAATTTAGGAAGGAGTTTGCATAAGATAACATATCCTGCTGTTGTAATATACTGGAGACAGGGCTCAGATCTCTGGATAAGGAATGCTGCAAAAATCCTAAGTGTTATTATCACTACACACCACTCTCCCCGGGATCTGAACCTGACCTCCCTTCCGTGATCCAAACAATCTCTGTCTTTGTGAAAATATCAGAGTGTTACAGGAAGAGAATTTTCTATRATTATTGTGTGAAACAGTTCTTTTCCTTGACATTTATTCATGTTTGGGCATGTTCCTGAACAAAGAGAATTCCCTATCAAAATGTGATCAATCTGAACACTTCTTGTGTTTTTAAAGAATGGACAAACAGCTGCCAGCAAAAAAGAAGCTGGAGGTGAAAACCTGAGGTGGTTGTCATGCCAAAAGAAATTCACACATTTCAAAAWGAGCAAGGGCTTGGGAAGGACAGCTTATTTCTGGAGGTGCACTGGCAGGGAAGAAAACTCGAGTACCAAAACAAATCAGTCTGGGCAGAAGCCAGTGTGGAGGGTGATGTGAAGAGGGAGGAGTGGTGTGCATGTATAAGGGTTTGGGTTCTGGCCTGGTTTCCCTTCCTCAGCAGACTGGTAGGAAACTTGTGGTCAATCATTCATACTGTGAGTGGCTGGGGGAGTCTGGACTCCTGGGAGGAGAGGGAGGTGTAAAGATAAGCTGGAGGAAGGGTCTAGAGTCTGGCCATGTCCCCAGGGCTATGGCTGACCTCAGGTTATTGTACAAAACGTGAAATCCTTGTGCTTGTCTGACAGCACCTCCTTGGGAGCTCCACTCCTTGGAGCTGAAGCCTGCCTGGATGCCTTTGAAGAGGGTTTTTTTTTTGCATTTGTTGGAAAACCAAAGGACCAGAAGCCCTRAATGAACCATCCTGCCTGGAGCAGAATCTGCAGAGAGGGTGCCCTGRGCTGCTGCAGAGGTGAGTGCCAGTGCCACTGCTGTGCCCTGGGAGCTGCTGGAGCAGCAGGGGAGGATTTCTGGGGCACTTTTTCCAGCTCTGTTTGAGCAGAGATGCAACAGCTTGGGTGGAATAGAAGCCTAAAGCTTTTGCTGCAAATCATTTGCTTCGTATCCCTTCTGGCCGTGAAGAGCTTTACAACATCTGCTGGCTTTTAATTAAGAGCAYGAATTCTGCAGCAATGCTTGGCCTCCC